ATCGAATCCACGCCTCACCTTGACTCCGACTTTAAAATCAAGCTGACGACATTCAAAGTTATTAAACGAGCTCTTGGCGATATGTTCGATCACACGCGTGGTTCCCGCCGGATGACATTTGGATGCCTTTTACACCTCGCTAACCTGTACCCGTGCCTCCAAGGTGCGGCAAAACGATACGCAAAGATCTTACAAATGCGCGCCCGTCGCAGCGCTGAGCTTGTATTGGTCAATGTAAGCAAATAAAACGCCGCGGCTGGGTCATTTTTTACAGCAACCTCGCATATCTCGGCACTGAACAAGCTTGTAAAGTCTGCTTGTCAGCTTGATACGGATCGCGAGACGTGCGGGGCCAGGAATCGCACCTTCCAGTTGTGAACGTCAATTTTCATATTTGGGGCAAAAATCAAGACTATTTATTGCTCAATCGCCACCCAAGTTTGCCATTTTTACAGATTGTTGAAAACTGCATGACAAGATTTGGGGGTTCTGTGCAAACATTCTGGAATGATTGAGGCACTTACTTTGTTGACGTACTGATGACGCAACATATCAGGGCGAGGGGAGGGGGCAGTACCTTGCACACTTTGACAAGGTTGCAACGGCCTGGGATTGAATCCGCCAACCCTCCGGGTTGGGAGACGACAACTCAAGCAGCGAGCCAAGCCGCCCCGGGTTCTGTCTTGCTCGTTCCCCTCCTCCTCGTCTCTCCGCCTCCCCGTTTGGTAATTGGATTTAGCGAGCACCTGTACGAGTGTAGATTTTCAGGGGATTAGAGTCACACAACCCTGAGTCACCAGTAATTAGCGTTTCTTTGCCCGTTTCTTCATCTCTCTCTCTTTCACACACACGTGAACATGCAGGCTTTATTTTTCCAAACACCTTTAGCGTCACAAGTTATTTGCTCCCTTCTCAAATTCTTTGTTTTTGTACAGTTTCACCTACAAGATTGTCTGGTAAATAGCAGAGTTCATGGCAAATATTTTCTCTCTCCATAGTAGTGCTCAAGTTTTCGCAATGGCCTTGTAACCCTTTACATGTCAATTACTTTAGTTTTCATCTGTTCTTGAGTTGTTTGTTTTTTTTTGGGGGGGGGGGTCTTTTGGTCAACTTATTTTGCGAAACGGCTTCCATTTGAGCGATTTCTTGATTGAACATGTCTGGAGGTAATCAGGAGGTAATCCATCCATTTTCCGATCGGCTCTATCCTCACAAGGGTCGCGGAGCCTATCCCAGCCGTCTTTGGGAGGTGGGCGAGGGACACCCTGAACCGGTTGCCAACCAATCGCAGGGCACACAGAGACGAACAACCATCCACACTCACATTCACACACTGGGATAATTTCGAGCGTTTAATCAGCCTGCCATGCATGTTTTTAGAATGTGGGAGGAAACCGTATTGAATAGTTTTTCCACTTAATGCTGAAGCACGTCACCTTTTTTGTCCAAAATAAAAAGAAAAAGTCATTTTCACCCACGCAACTACCAGAGTAGATGACCCAACGCTGATTAAGTCTATCACCGCCTCTAACTTGCTTTATTTTCCAGCATTTGATCTTTTATATTTTGCGCCGACCTTCCCAAAACGTCACGAATGGAAATGTTGCACCGGAGATGAAAAGCAGACGAGACAAAGCTTGTTCAACAAGTCGAGGTCCACGAGGGTGCTGAAAACACCATCGGGCCTCTGCACACACTCGCATGGGCACATCCTCTCGGGCAGGTGATATAT